TACGTAGAGAGTACGTACGAGTAGAGAGAGAGAGAGAGAGAGACGAGAGAGAGAGAGAGAGAGTAGAGAGAGAGAGAGAGAGAGAGGAGGANGAGAGAGAGAGAGAGAGAGAGCTTCTCGCTTAGGGGAGAAGGGAGAGGAGGTTTAAGAGGAGCTTCTCAGTTACCAATTTCCTGCACCATGATGCATATTTATATATGTATATAATAACAATATTTCTCTATTTTGTTGCTTGGAACGCGGTTTGTCGCTTTATATTGGGTGGGACCCGTCAAGTTGCTGAAGTCTTTCGCAGTCATTGGATTGACTTGTATTCTTCCTAAGCTGAAAAGGAGCAACAACTTGGACTAACAAATCGTATAGAATAGTTGTGATAAAACAAAAAAAGGGTTAGGTTGTATATTATTGTTAGAAATAAAAATAAAGTTGTGAAAATTATGAAAAGATCAAATGATACTGAGAATTCAGAGGTATTAAAGGGTGCGATTAGTAAGATACACTTCCAAACTTTGTCAAGAGGCGTAATTTTGGTGTCCAAATTTTTGGATGGTGTGAGAATTTATTTTTATTTTTAATTATAAAATTTTAAACTATAAAAATAGTTTAAATCAAGCAGATCTATAAGCGCATGAAAATATTGGAAATGGACGGTCCATATAATGTGTTATAAGATATAATATTTTCAAATATTAACTCTCTCAAAAAAAAAAAAGATATAATATTTTTATGATTTGAAATATCTTTTTTTCTCCATCTCTATATGTCTTGATGCCGAGATGATCAATTATATATTTTTTCAATGCCAAAAGACTCAAAATAATATTTTTTTGAAGGATTTTAGAGGTAAACCTTAATTCTACATTTTAAGGTATCAACCTATAAAATATTTTTCTTTTAAAAATTATCAAAAAATAAGAATGATACCGAGTCCAATTGGGATAGGACTTGCATGATGATGATGAATGATGATGATGAAAAGAAGATACTGAGAATTCAAATATACAAATACTAAAAAGGTGCAGTTTAAGCGACAATCTTAGTTGTAGAAGTAAGGTTTGGATGTACCATACCATCCACTTTAGTTGGGATTGTAAATCTGCAGCATTTATTACTACAATGTCAAAAAGTCGAACATCATTCCAGTTAATACCCAATTTGCACTGTCCAAATAGTATAAACTATGTAGGTTACTGCAACCTTACTTCAACAAGTAAGGTTGTAACTTTGTATAAATATTTTTCTATATTAAAATATCGTTCTTATTTCGGCAAGTAAGGTTGCAAACTTATATAAATATTTTTCTATGGTAAAATATCTTTTATGTTTTTCTAGTGTTAACATAGATTGGGTGATTATCGCCATCCTAACTACTTGGCTCGAACCACTATACCCTAGTTAAAGTTCACGGCCTCCATTATCACTAACGCAATAAAAAATCTGACTATTTTCAAAATGGGTTGGGGCCTATAATCCCCATTAATCTACCAAAAAAATAAAAAACTAACAGCCTCTAGCCCGTTTTCTAGAAATATAAAAAATATCTCAGAAAATTTATTGGTTCAAATCCAACAATGTTGTAACGTTCACGGCGACAGTATTGTTTTCAATGCGTGTGTGTTGTGTTCATAGGGAATAGATGAGAGAATCAATGCCTTAGAACTCAGTATTCTTTGGTTTTACTTTTAGTACTTTGGGGTCTCTACTGACTCCCTTGGCCATGAATTTCTTTGATCTCGAATGCAGGGATTCACATCACAATTACTATGCAAAGTACTTAAGAAACTAGAAAATTGAATATAAAATTTAAGTGGTCAAAGTACATTATAAATCATCATTAATAATAATTAGGGTAGTGAAGTGATCACATCTAACATGGAAGGGGTTGCTTTTTCATTTCTTCTTCGTCAAGAAATAATACAAAAATGATCCATAAATTATTACAACTTGAATTGTTTGATGATTTACTGTTAATCAAATTAACTTATCTTTTTGATGCCAAAGTTATGAAATTATCAAACAATATAAATAATAGCGATTTACGGTAAGAAAGAATAAATTTCGGTGATTTTTAAGGCTAATTTGGTCATTTTTTATTTTTGATGAGGTACCCAATTGAAATGGAATTAAAAGCAAACCATGCTGTATTAAATAGGATCATTTAAACACCTTAATGAATTTGTAAGGTTGTTTGACGATATAATTGGTACATTCCTTAGAAAGTTGTAAATGTTAGTTTTTGAGCTGTTTAAAACTTAGATCTACCCTAGAAAAATTGAATGGTCTCAATTCAATTCAGTTATACTTTGTTAGCTTTTTTTTTTATTGTATTTTTTTTTTCTCCTTTTCTAAGGTTGGTGCCTTGTTTGAGGAGTAATATCCAAAAAATTCAGGATTGTAAAATTCCTCCAGGCGAGGTTTTTGTAGAATCTCAATGATAAGGAATTGCCGATCTGGACTAGTTTTGGGCTAGGACCTAGGAGCCAACTAGTTCCGGCGCCAGCTCTGTTCCCCCTAAACTCCTCGCGCTCCCCCTCTTCCATATTTCATTTTTAAGGTCACAACCTTATACAAACCACATCCATAAACAAATATGTGAGACACTTTTTTTTTTTTTCCTTTCATAGTTGGGGCACTTTGTCATGTCTTTTTTTAAGTTAAGTGGCATCGCGAAAGGTTGCTACCATTGACTGACTCAGGCTGAGTATTTGGCCCGAGTTAAGTCGAGTCACGTCAAAAATTGCTAATAATATATATATATATATATATATATATATAAACTAGGAAAATATGTTTAAAGTAAAATTAAGCAAAAGCACATCGAAATGAAGTTAAAAAAGTAGTGAAAAAAACATAGATTTTGAAAAATCAATTTGGGAAAAGGGCATTTTACAAATAATTCAAAAATATAAAAAAGAGTATTCATAGCCAACACACTTTTCAATCTTTGTCAAAATAATAGAAAACATGATAAAAATGGATTTCTTATATTTTGAATTTTGAATTATTTTTTATTTTTTAAGACTCACAAGTAGGACACCCAACTCGAGGGTATTCGCCCGAGTCGGAGCTGGCTCGCCCGAGAAATCAATAGCTAGTTTCGTCATTTTCATGAAAATTGGAATCTCTCTCTCCCTCTTGTACTGTTTTAATTCCATTCTGCTCAACAGTAACCGTCATAATTCCATTTTTACCTGAACTTTCCATGGTAATCTCGATCATTATTCTTGCTTTTTGTTATTTATCTACATTCAAAATTGGTTTTCGTCCCGTTTAATTTAACAAACAAAATTCATGTGTATCAATCACCTAACAAAAAATTCGACCTTTTTCCACGCACTGGAGTTAGGCATAAGGCATGCACAGTGGGAGTTTGAAAAAGTCAAGGGCTAATTCACACGTCTTCAAGTCTATGTTTGTCGCATGAGTAAAATTTCTTATACCCTTTTTTGGAAGCATGTTAATTTATTAGACCATCGTTTTCATATTTGGAAATTTATAGTGACTTGGAGACGAGAGTTTTATGGAGCTACCATCACAATTACGACATTGCCTGTGAATTTTGCATTTTTAGGCCTTTGAATTCAAAGTTGCAGTCAATTTCTCGTTCACTGTAAGCAATTTGTGATACGTTTCGTGAAAACAAGGAAGAAGGAATCTCAGTTTGCATAATAGTGGTGTATATGGTACACAACTAGAAATTTAGAATGCATTTCGTTTTCTTTGACTCATGTTGTGTGGACTGATGATTTCGGAGAAATTATGATCAATATATAGAAACAAAAAGCAATCCACGAAAAATAAGAAAGAAAAAACAAATACAAAAGAAAGAGACAACCAACCACAACACAAAGATATACGTGGTTCGGCAACGTGCTTACGTCTACTGAAGATAAGAGCTTCGGCAACGTGTTTACGTATATAGGAGATAAGAGCTTCTTTACTGGCAATGAAGAATAGGGTTACAAATAGCTCTCTTTCTCACACCTCTCTGTTATCTCTGATTATAAAGAAATCTATGTTTTTTGCTTGACCCTAAAAAACCTCTCGTACCAACAATATATGTACAAATTATCGAAATACCTTTGTACGGATATATATCAAGTCCCAGATATATCGAATCCTATGTACGGATATATCAAAAATTTTCCTTGGGGGCTGCTGCCCCAAAACCTTTGCAGGGACCAAGTCAACCAAATCTACCTGTACCGGACACTCCTTCGGGCCTCCGGCCCTCCGGGCTTTTAACGGCCCTTCGGAGTTGTCCTTTTAACTCTAACTTGACATATTTATTTCCTCAGAATACAAGATATCAATCCTCAACACAATCTAAACTGTATATCGCCATAAATGTTGTGGATGCTCTATGGTGTATCATGTTCATATATTAAATTCACCAATGGTGTATGATGTATTCTTCCTTGACCGCTTGGGTTCTATTGTAATTAGGCTTGGCACAACAGGAGTCCAACTCACCGTTGGGTTCAAGTCCTAATCTCAAGAGCAATGTTTTTACCACGATGATTTTCACTCTAGATCATCGATCTTGATGAGAGTCAATAGGGACCGAACTAGTTTTAGGATAGCGTGGGTCCCATCTAGTTCCCCCTTTATTCTCCTTCTCCATT